TACCTATATCTTACTCTATAATATAACAATATCTCCCGTACCTATATACTCTATAATATAACAATATCTCCCGTACCTATATCTTACTCTATAATATAACAATATCTCCCGTACCTATATCTTACTCTATAATATAACAATATCTCCCGTACCTATATCTTATTCAACTCGACAATTTTTTTTCCAACATCTCCTCAATAGACTTTTTCATTCATCTCCTCTAAAAACTCTTTCATTCATCTCCTCGATAGACTTTTTCATTCATCTCCGCTATAAACTTTTTCATTCATCTCCGCTATAGACTTTTTCATTCATCTCCGCTATAAACTTTTTCATTCATCTCCTCTAAAAACTCTTTCATTCATCTCCTCGATAGACTTTTTCATTCATCTCCGCTATAAACTTTTTCATTCATCTCCTCTATAAATTCTTTCATTCATCTCCGCTATAAACTTTTTCATTCATCTCCTCGATAGATTCTTTCATTCATCTCCTCGATAAAATTTTTCATTCATTTCCTCTATAAACTTTTTCATTTAACTCCTCAATAGACTTTTTCATTCCTCTTTAGACTTTTTACATTCATCTCCTCTATAAACTTTTTCATTTAACTCCTCAATAGACTTTTTCATTCCTCTTTAGACTTTTTACATTCATCTCCTCTATAAACTTTTTCATTTAACTCCTCAATAGACTTTTTCATTCCTCTTTAGACTTTTTACATTCATCTCCTCTATAAACTTTTTCATTTAACTCCTCAATAGACTTTTTCATTCCTCTTTAGACTTTTTACATTCATCTCCTCTATAAACTTTTTCATTTAACTCCTCAATAGACTTTTTCATTCCTCTTTAGACTTTTTACATTCATCTCCTCTATAAACTTTTTCATTTAACTCCTCAATAGACTTTTTCATTCCTCTTTAGACTTTTTACATTCATCTCCTCTATAAACTTTTTCATTTAACTCCTCGATAGACTTTTTCATTCCTCTTTAGACTTTTTACATTCATCTCCTCTATAAACTTTTTCATTTAACTCCTCGATAGACTTTTTCATTCCTCTTTAGACTTTTTACATTCATCTCCTCTATAAACTTTTTCATTTAACTCCTCAATAGACTTTTTCATTCCTCTTTAGACTTTTTACATTCATCTCCTCGATAGACTTTCTCTTATCATGTCCTCTCTGACCTTATTCTCGTATCTCCTTTATAAGCTTTTCCAGTTTTCTCCTATGATATACCTGTTATTTCATTCCTCTTCACATCAACATTTTTTACATTCATCTCCTATATAAACTTTTTCATTTAACTCCTCAAGATAATGTTTTTTTCAGTTTGAATTTCCATTTTTAAGATTCTGAAATTGAAGAATACATGTTTTTACAGTTTCATCTCCTCTATAAACTTTTTCATTTAACTAGACAAGAAATTTCATATAGAACGTTTTCATTGTCATTCCTGATTATGATTACGCATGTTGGCCTTTAGACTTTGTAATTACATTCATGTCCATCATATAAACTTTTTCATTTATATATAAGATTAGACATGTCGGACAAACAGATGTCCAACATAATTTTCTTTTTCATATATTGTGATCTATAGATTTTGACATTTGGTATTTTCTTGTTGTTTCCATTTCTATAAACTTTTTCATTTAATTCAATAGATGTATTCCTCGACTTTTTACATTATTGGTATTTTCTATAAACTTTTTCATTTGGATTAATTCCTCGACATGGTATTTTCTTGTTGTTTCCATTTGGATTATGATTATGTCGACATGTTGGTATTTTCTTGTTGTTTCTATTTTCTTGTTGTTTCCATTTGGATTATAATTATGTCGACATGTGGGTATTTTCTTGTTGTTTCCATTTGGATTATGATTATGTCGACATGTTGGTATTTTCTTGTTGTTTCCATTTGGATTATAATTATGTCGACATGTGGGTATTTTCTTGTTGTTTCCATTTGGATTATGATTATCGACATTTTTATGATTATTCATCTCCTCATTCTATAAACTTTTTCATTTAACTCCTCAATGTTGTTTCAGTTTGGATTATAATTATGTCGACATGTTGGTATTTTCTTGTTGTTTCAGTTTGGATTATGATTATGTCGACATGTTGGTATGTATTGTTGTTTTTAGTTTTGATTATGATTATGTCGACATGTTGGTATCTTGTTGTTTTTATATTAGATTTTCGACATGTTGGTATTCTCCTATGATTTACCTGTTATTGTAGATTACTCCCTGGTACATCAACATTTAAAGACATGTTTATTTCTTGATGTCAGTTTGGATTATGATTATGTCGACATGTTGGTATTTTCTGTATTTCTAATTTTGGATTATAATGTATTTCGACATGTTGAATTATCCATTTTTAAGATTACGTTGAAATTGAAGAATACATGTGACTTTGAGTCAGTAGTTTCGTTTTAAAATCTTATCCTTACTGCTTTTTTTAGCTGAGCGCGAAAGTACATGCTGATTAAAGGTTCTATAGACAAGAAATTTACCACGGGATTTTCTTGTTGCATGGATTATGTTTTCGACATGTGGTATTTTCTTGTTGTTTCCATTTGGATTATGATTATTATGTCGACATGTGTATTTTCTGTTGTCCATTTGGATTATGATTATGTTTCTTGTTGTTTCCATTTGGATTATGATTATGTCGACATGTTGGTATTTTCTTGTTGTTTCCATTTGGATTATGATTATGTCGACATGTTGGTATTTTCTTGTTGTTTCCATTTGGATTATGATTATGTCGACATGTTGGTATTTTCTTGTTGTTTCAGTTTGGATTATGATTATGTCGACATGTTGGTATTTTCTTGTTGTTTCCATTTGGATTATGATTATGTCGACATGTTGGTATGTCTTGTTGTTTCAGTTTGGATTATGATTATGTCGACATGTGGGTATTTTCATGTTGTTTCAGTTTGAATTATAATTATGTCGACATGTTGGTATGTCTTGTTGTTTTTAGTTTGGATTATAATTATGTCTTGTTGTTTTTAGTTTGGATTATAATTATGTCGACATGTTGGTATTTTCTTGTTGTTTCAGTTTGGATTATGATTATGTCGACATGTTGGTATTTTCTTGTTGTTTCCATTTGGATTATGATTATGTCGACATGTTGGTATTTTCTTGTTGTTTCCATTTGGATTATGATTATGTCGACATGTTGGTATTTTCTTGTTGTTTCCATTTGGATTATGATTATGTCGACATGTTGGTATTTTCTTGTTGTTTCCATTTGGATTATGATTATGTCGACATGTTGGTATTTTCTTGTTGTTTCCATTTGGATTATGATTATGTCGACATGTTGGTATTTTCTTGTTGTTTCCATTTGGATTATGATTATGTCGACATGTTGGTATTTTCTTGTTGTTTCCATTTGGATTATGATTATGTCGACATGTTGGTATTTTCTTGTTGTTTCCATTTGGATTATGATTATGTCGACATGTTGGTATTTTCTTGTTGTTTCAGTTTGGATTATGATTATGTCGACATGTTGGTATTTTCTTGTTGTTTCAGTTTGGATTATGATTATGTCGACATGTTGGTATGTCTTGTTGTTTTTAGTTTGGATTATGATTATGTCGACATGTTGGTATGTCTTGTTGTTTTTAGTTTGGATTATAATTATGTCGACATGTTGGTATTTTCTTGTTGTTTTTTGTTTGGATTATGATTATGTCGACATGTTGGTATTTTCTTGTTATTGTCCTAGTTTTATTGAATTTGAGTTATGATTATGTCGACATGTTGGTATTTTCTTGTTGTTTCCATTTGGATTATGATTATGTCGACATGTTGGTATTTTCTTGTTGTTTCAGTTTGGATTATGATTATGTCGACATGTTGGTATTTTCTTGTTGTTTTTGGTTTGGATTATGATTATGTCGACATGTTGGTATTTTCTTGTTGTTTCAGTTTGGATTATGATTATGTCGACATGTTGGTATTTTCTTGTTGTTTCAGTTTGGATTATGATTATGTCGACATGTTGGTATTTTCTTGTTGTTTCAGTTTGGATTATGATTATGTCGACATGTGGGTATTTTCTTGTTGTTTCCATTTGGATTATGATTATGTCGACATGTTGGTATTTTCTTGTTGTTTCAGTTTGGATTATGATTATGTCGACATGTTGGTATGTCTTGTTGTTTTTAGTTTGGATTATGATTATGTCGACATGTTGGTATTTTCTTGTTGTTTCCATTTGGATTATGATTATGTCGACATGTTGGTATTTTCTTGTTGTTTCAGTTTGGATTATGATTATGTCGACATGTGGGTATTTTCTTGTTGTTTCCATTTGGATTATGATTATGTCGACATGTTGGTATTTTCTTGTTGTTTCCATTTGGATTATGATTATGTCGACATGTTGGTATTTTCTTGTTGTTTCCATTTGGATTATGATTATGTCGACATGTTGGTATTTTCTTGTTGTTTCCATTTGGATTATGATTATGTCGACATGTTGGTATTTTCTTGTTGTTTCCATTTGGATTATGATTATGTCGACATGTTGGTATTTTCTTGTTGTTTCCATTTGGATTATGATTATGTCGACATGTTGGTATTTTCTTGTTGTTTCCATTTGGATTATGATTATGTCGACATGTTGGTATTTTCTTGTTGTTTCCATTTGGATTATGATTATGTCGACATGTTGGTATTTTCTTGTTGTTTCCATTTTATTGGATTATGATTATGTCGACATGTTGGTATTTTCTTGTTGTTTCCATTTGGATTATGATTATGTCGACATGTTGGTATTTTCTTGTTGTTTCAGTTTGGATTATGATTATGTCGACATGTTGGTATGTCTTGTTGTTTTTAGTTTGGATTATAATTATGTCGACATGTTGGTATTTTCTTGTTGTTTTTTGTTTGGATTATGATTATGTCGACATGTTGGTATTTTCTTGTTGTTTTTGGTTTGGATTATGATTATGTCGACATGTTGGTATTTTCCCCGACGCCCCAACATGTGGACGTCAGTCGCACGCCGTCCTATGGATCGCAAGACAACCGATCGTGCGACACTGAAAGCACACCCCTCCTAGGTAACAGGTTGGTATGGATGTCATATAGATGAGGGAAAATAACTAGTTTGAATTAACACCCCTCCTAGGTAACAGGTTGGTATGGATGTCATATAGATGAGGGAAAATAGCTAGTTTGAATTAACACCCCTCCTAGGTAACAGGTTGGTATGGATGTCATATGATATTGGGGGAAAATAACTAGTTTGAATTAATACCCCTCCTAGGTAACAGGTAGGCATGGATGTCATATGACATTGGGGGAAAATAACTAGTTTGAATTAACACCCCTCCTAGGTAACAGGTTGCTATGTATGTCATATGACATTGGGGGAAAATAACTAGTTTGAACTAACACCCCTCCTAGGTAACAGGTTGGTATGTATGTCATATAGATGAGGGAAAATAACTAGTTAGAATTAACACCCCTCCTAGGTAACAGGTTGGTATGTATCCTGTTGGAGGGGAAGTAAACGTCTGCATTAACACCCCTCTTAGATAACAGGTACCCGTGTAGGTCATGTGGGAGGGACATGTAACTAGTTTGAATGCATTCCCCTCCCAGGTTATGGGTTGGATGATATGTGATATTACGTGGGGCTACTTTTGATGGCGCCATTACAAACGATGTCACAATCAAGATAAGGCATTTCTGGGTAGTTTTTTTTATAATTTTTTATTTTTCAAGATTTTACACGTTGAACAGGACAAATACACTCACACCCTCTCACACATCCAACCACAGGTGCACATATAGTCATTGCGTGTCAAACAAGTACATTCCATTCAAAAGAATCATCAACATCATCATCAACATTCAAAAATGCATGTGATCATTACTACTATTATTATTATTATTATCACCATACATGATAATCCTCATATATCACAATCAATATTATTATGTTACACACTAAATAATCATCATCATCATCCTCAAAAACATGATAATCTTCCTCATCATCCATTTCAACATATATATCACAATCAATATTACTGTCATGATTATTGTACATACTAAATAATGCATCATCATCATCCACATTCAACAATTCATTATCATCATCAAATCAAGATTCATACTTTCATAACCATTATGGAACCTTCTGATTCATAAATATCTTTTGTTTGAAATGCACCCAAGCACACATGCATAAACACACACACAACCATAAATTGATATCAACATACAGAAATGAGGAAATGAAATAGAACTTTATTAGGGATAAGAAATTTAAAGAGAAAGAAATTGAAGAAAATGAAGAAATAGTAAAGTGGATTGTTGGGTGAGATGGTAAAATAGGTTAGAGTAATTTAATCTTTTAATGTTTTTCTTTCTTTATATCTGATTACTCGGTATGGTCAAGGACTGTTATGTATATAATTATAAAAAATTATAGAAAAAAAAAGAAAAAAAGAAAAACTAGTAATGCGATGGGTAATAGATCAAAGTGTGTAGATCAAAACTGTATTAATTTTTCCCAATTTTTCCATTCATTCTCAAATTTACGTTTTACTTTATCATCCTTACCATTAGCTATATATTTTTGTATCATATAATTATCTTTGATTGTATTAATTAGTGCATGCAAGTTTAGTGAACGGTGTAAGCATCTCATTTTATAAATATACTGTTTGATAATAATTATAATCTCATTGTCTACTCTGTTACTCGGAAGGAAGTTTTGATGTAGGAGACCAAGAATGAAAGTTTGCTTGTTTACTGAGAAAGGGATAAATAGAGCTTCTAACAAAATATCAAGACTCTGTAATAGTCTTTGTACTTCCTGACATTCCCACAGCAGATGACTGATTGTTTCTTGCTCAGAGTTACACAACACACAAAGAGGGGAGATAACTAATCTAATTTTAAAAAGAAGGGAATTTGTTGCTAATGCATGGTGGATTACCCTATACTGGAACCACTGGAACTTTGTATTTTTTGTTACATGGAATGGCATTAAATAGTACTTATCCCAAGTTTGTTTATCTATATTATCAAATATACTATTCCATTTTTTGGTACCCGATGGTAACACGTTACATTTAATTAAAGTATTATAAAACCTTTTTGATCCTTTTTTGTCTTGAAGAAAGATACGTAAGGTGATTGGTATGCAAGGATAGATTATAGAGGGGTTAGAGATAGTATCTGATGCAATAAATATTTTGACTGCAGAGACCAGACCCTGGTATTGTAAAAAATTTGTATTTATTTGATATTTTCGAATAAATTCTTCCCTTCCATAGAAAACATATCTGTTGGTATCTTTGATTAAATTAGCTATGATAGTTATATTCTTCTTAAACCAACTCTCATAAAATACAGTTTTACCTCCTATCTTTATTTTATTGTTATACCAAATTGGGACAGATAATATATTACTCTGAAATAGATTATCCTCATATTTTGTGTTAAGTGTACCCCAAGCTTTGAAAACATCACACCAAAATTTGTTTTTGCACTTTTTTATGCATAAATGAATATAATTATTACCACAGTTTGCAAGAAGGTCAGTGTCAATATAGGTTTTTAGAATGATCTGCCATTTCTCAGTACTGCGATAGAGTCTCCTTATCCAAGTCAGTTTCAATGCATTTATAAAAGCTACAAGATTGACCATCTTAAGACCACCATTAGCATAGTTTTGCATAACTGTATCCCGTTTGATTTTATCTGGTCTTCCATCCCATAGAAAGTCAAAAAGTAGAGAGTTGAGTTTAAACAGAAACTTCTCATCTGGATTAGGTAATGAAATAAAGAGATGATTAAATTGTGATATAAGCAACGACTTTATAATGTTTATTTTTCCTATTGGAGTTAATGATCTTCTATTCCATATTTTTATTAGCGATTTCAGTTTAGTGAGTTTTCTGGGTAGTTTTAATGTTAGTCGAAACGGTTTTTAGATACTTAATAAAGCCATTCTTAAGAAGACTGCCTTGGTAATTGCTAAAAACTTTCAAACATAGCTTATCGAGACATTTCTCTAGTTAAATGAGGTAAAATTCGAGCCACGGGACAGGTTTTCATTTCAACAGATTACATCCATGCATAGGCACATACATGAATCCCTGATTAACTTTCATTTGCATGACTCGCATTCCTCATACCATAGGAACAAAATCTCCGTATATCATTGATCTAGTTGTATCTTGGAATTAAGATATACATCAGGGCCATTACATGTTCTTGTCATTCTGATGAGGCCTCCATCGACTCTAGATTTTTGGCAGTCATTAAGACAGGTTTCGAAAAAATAAGCCTTCCATACGACTTTCTTAGTAAACAACTCATGAAGCATAGAATACCTACCCTGAATGTGCCAGGTCTTGATTGTGACGACATACCGGAAGTGACTTCATTAAAAGTAATCCCAAGGTAGTATCAACAACTCATGAAGCATACAATACCTACCCTGAATATGCCTGGTCTTGATTGTGACGACATACCGGAAGTGACTTCATTAATAGTAACCCCAAGGTAGTATCGCTTCGCTCTGTAGATACTGATGTTATATAAAGGTGCAGATAGCAAGTTGAAGTTACCCACTTCCTAAGTAAATGTAGACATAGTGTCCTTTATAAGAAACAGATAACAAGCATTTATTTACAGGGATACCTGCTAGGAAGGCATGATGTCCCATGTAAGATAACTGGTATTAATTCACAGGGATAAGAGCTAGATAAGGAAATGTCTTGATTCCTGTATTGTTTTACTGTCTTTCTCCTATATGTCCACACGTCGAAACATTTCTTTGCAATGCTTCCAATCCTACACAGATGCGAAGGGTTTTTAGCAGATTGCATGTGAAGGAGATTGGGTGTAATCGGTACTAATGCTGTATTATTGTATCGTTGTAGTGATTCCGGGAACAGCGGTGTATTCGTCAAAGAAATGACTGTGGATATCAAAGGAAACATAAACAACTACTTCAGAAACAATTACAAACAATTGTTTCATCATTTCAAAATCGCCATCCTGCTGATTCTCACTGTTGTCTTCTGTGTAAGTGATTTCCGCATCATGCTTCTTACATTTCTTTGTATGATTCTCTTATACAGCAATATTGTCCATTCTTTAACCTTCCAGCACAAAGCAAAATAATTGTTTCGTGAATGTGAGTTTGAAAAAGCCCCCTTCAGCAAATTACCCGCGGGCTTTCTGCTATTTAATGAAGCGCAACTACAAGTACACTATCAAGGAATTACCCATAGGGTTTTAGACATTGCCTGATAAATACCAGAAGTTCTCACAATAGTATGTATTGTCTTGACACTAAATTTGGAATTTCTTCTTTTCAAAATATGGACATACCAAATTTTTTCCCCAATGTCTTTCTTCAGTCATCCTGTCGTTCGGCTTTTGAGTTAAGCGTCCGACTGGTTAATCCGTTGCCAGTATAATGTGAGCGGATGAGCTGTTATGTCCAGCTTTTGCTATTTTAGTGTGATAGTACTATAAAATAGTCCGCCATTTGCTCCCCCCACCAACCACGCATTTACGCAGTAACAACTGACCATAGTTGTAGCATGGACGTAAACTTGTAAACAAATAAACACAACAGTCACGTCATATGACGCCAGCGAATACAAATAGCGGGGTCACATAACAAACAGATGTTGTTTTATCTATGATATGTTGAAAAATTACTGTAAAAATAAGCTGTGGGCGAGTGGTTCAGCCTGATGTTAAAATGACCGTGCTTAGTTTGCTTTTAAAGTGGCCCGCCGCATGCCTGCAAAATATTGCAACGGACTTTTACATTGAAAATGATACGTATAATTTAAATAATAACATATATTTTCAACGCTGATCAGCTGTACAAGACAACAGGATTTATCATGACAACCGACGTCAATCGTCATATTAGCTCAGCATTTCCAAATCTGTATATTACTCAAGAGCTGAACATTTCTCGTGTCTTAATACAGGAAAAATATCGACAACTTCACCCCACTAAAGAATATACTGTACTTATTTAAAGGGTATTATTACTGCTAACGAGGAGACTGATGAAAAATTTTGGACCACCTCCATTGACAATACCACGCCAATAGGTACGTTAACACCTACTGCATTAATGTTTCTAGTCATCAGTATAGCGATACTCAAGAGAAATTGAGACCCTGTTCCAGTTAATGAGGTAATAATGAATGTTTCTATTATCTTTTCAGAGGCTAAATTTATGTTGTTTTAGAACAAAACAAGTTGCAACATTTTGCTAACCTCGTTTCCACGCAAATGACAATAAGATATATTTCAATGAAATCTAGTGTTGCACGCTGTTCAGGAAAAAGTTTTCTGTAATATCCAAATTACCACTGTATCTCCATTTTCAGTGTCATCATTCCATGATGCTAACGGAGCCTTGAAGCTGACGTTAGACGGCCCCGTGAACCCAAAAGGAGACAAGAGCGTGAACAAGACACGTTCATTCATCACGGTAGAGGTTCTCCAAGACAATAGTGTAAGTGTTGTCTGCCCTAACGTAGCTGTGTTTATAATACTTTTTTTCTATGACCGTCTCTTTATCGCTTGTCTTTGTATATACTTTTATCAGACGAATGTGTTTGTGATATCAAAGCCCTAAATCAGTCTGCAACGTTTTTTGTCTACATCACACACGACATCAATACCTACATCATGTTACTGGTCTTTACTCTTCGTCACACACGACATCAATACCTACATCATGTTACTGGTCTTTACTCTACATCACACACGACATCAATACCTACATCGTGTTACTGGTCTTTACTCTACGTCACACACGACATCAATACCTACATCATGTTACTGGTCTTTACTCTACGTCACACACGACATCAATACCTACATCATGTTACTGGTCTTTACTCTACGTCACACACGACATCAATACCTACATCATGTTACTGGTCTTTACTCTTCGTCACACACGACATCAATACCTACATCATGTTACTGGTCTTTACTCTACATCACACACGACATCAATACCTACATCGTGTTACTGGTCTTTACTCTACGTCACACACGACATCAATACCTACATCATGTTACTGGTCTTTACTCTACGTCACACACGACATCAATACCTACATCATGTTACTGGTCTTTACTCTACGTCACACACGACATCAATACCTACATCATGTTACTGGTCTTTAATCAACGTCACACAGTACATCAATACCTACATCATGTTACTGGTCTTTACTCTACATCACACACGACATCAATGACTACATCATGTTACTGGTCTTTAATCTACATCACACACGACATCAATACCTACATCATGTTACTGGTCTTTACTCTACATCACACACGACATCAATACCTACATCATGTTACTGGTCTTTAATCTACATCACACACGACATCAATACCTACATCATGTTACTGGTCTTTAATCTACATCACACACGACATCAATACCTACATCATGTTACTGGTCTTTACTCTACATCACACACGACATCAATACCTACATCATGTTACTGGTCTTTACTCCACATCACACACGACATCAATACCTACATCATGTTACTGGTCTTTAATCTACATCACACACGACATCAATACCTACATCATGTTAGTGGTCTTTACTCCACATCACACACGACATCAATACCTACATCATGTTACTGGTCTTTAATCTACATCACACACGACATCAATACCTACATCGTGTTACTGGTCTTTACTCTACATCACACACGACATCAATACCTACATCATGTTACTGGTCTTTAATCTACATCACACACGACATCAATACCTACATCATGTTAGTGGTCTTTACTCCACATCACACACGACATCAATACCTACATCATGTTACTGGTCTTTAATCTACATCACACACGACATCAATACCTACATCGTGTTACTGGTCTTTACTCTACATCACACACGACATCAATACCTTCATCATGTTACTGGTCTTTACTCTACATCACACACGACATCAATGCCTACATCATGTTACTGGTCTTTACTCTACATCACACACTACATCAATACCTACATCATGTTACTGGTCTTTACTCTACGTCACACACGACATCAATACCTACATCATGTTACTGGTCTTTACTCTACGTCACACACGACATCAATACCTACATCATGTTACTGGTCTTTACTCTACGTCACACACGACATCAATACCTACATCATGTTACTGGTCTTTACTCTACATCACACACGACATCAATACCTACATCATGTTACTGGTCTTTACTCCACATCACACACGACATCAATACCTACATCATGTTACTGGTCTTTACTCTACATCACACACTACATCAATACCTACATCATGTTACTGGTCTTTACTCCACATCACACACGACATCAATACCTACATCATGTTACTGGTCTTTACTCTACATCACACACTACATCAATACCTACATCATGTTACTGGTCTTTACTCCACATCACACACGACATCAATACCTACATCATGTTACTGGTCTTTACTCTACATCACACACTACATCAATACCTACATCATGTTACTGGTCTTTACTCTACATCACACACTACATCAATACCTACATCATGTTACTGGTCTTTACTCCACATCACACACGACATCAATACCTACATCATGTTACTGGTCTTTACTCCACATCACACACGACATCAATACCTACATCATGTTACTGGTCTTTACTCCTCATCACACACGACATCAATACCTACATTATTTGTACTTAGTCTACATCACTGTCTTCATGTACATTTACAACATACCCCTGTCTTCATGTACATTTACAACATACCCCTGTCTTTATGTACATTCACAACATACCCTGTCTTCATGTACATTTACGACATACCCTGTCTTCATGTACATTTACGACATACCCTGTCTTCATGTACATTTACAACATACCCTGTCTTCGTGTACATTTACAACATACTCCTGTCTTCATGTACATTTACAACATACCAATGTCTTCATGTACATTTACAACATACCAATGTCTTCATGTACATTTACAACATACCAATGTCTTTGTCTACATTTACAACATAGCCTCTCTTCATGTACATTTACAACATACCCCTGTCTTTGTCTACATTTACAACATACCCCTGTCTTCATGTACATTTACAACATACCAATGTCTTCATGTACATTTACAACATACCAATGTCTTCATGTACATTTACAACATACCAATGTCTTTGTCTACATTTACAACATACCCTGACTTCATATACATTTACAACATACCACTGTCTTTGTCTACATCACTCACTACATCGATACCTACATCATGTTACTGGTCTTTGTCTACATTACTCAATACATCGATACCTACATCACGTTACTGGTCTTTACATCACTGTCTTTATTTACAATACTTGACTGCCTTTGTCTACATCTTTCACTTTGTTTGTATGTATGGATTCCGCAGACCAATGTACTAGAAACAAAGATGTGGGAAGTAAACAGTGCGATTATCTTAGATGAAGCATCTGAGCAGGTAGAACACAAATTCTCCAACGTCAGTGGAAGGTAAGTAATAGCATCACAAATAGTGGATCTCGCGTGGGTTTCCACCTCATACGCTTTTTGTTCTTTGTTTCTTTTGTTTTAGGTTTTTTTTTTTTTTTTTGTTATATTAAGTTTCATAGATTTCATGTTAGATTACGTTTATCACAAAACTTATATACACTTCAGATTTTCTATAAACACCATTTTATAAGACTGATGTAAGACCTACACAGGCGATATTCCAATCTTGCATTTTTTTTATCATTACGTCATAATGCTGGTGTCGCCATGTAGTTATGACGTCACAACTGAACGGTCAATATCGCTTGATAGCATAAAAGTCTACCTTACAGTCTGAGAATCTGCACCAATCCTTATCCAATCTAAGCCGTAAAGAAATGGACGTGATTTACCAGAAGTGCTGGTTCAGACTGTCATTTAATGTCGCAAAAATAGTAACATTGACCTATAAATACTTCCTACTGAGTAAAATTTTTAAAAGTTCACCGAGTAGATAAATGATGTCTACCTTACAGGGCCAGTGTCAGTCTAAGATTTACGACCAATTCTTCCGAGAACTTCGCCGTCAGATGGAAGCTGCACGTGACACATGACAGTGAAATCATCATCGCAGCAATCATCCTCGTCTTCGTTTACATTCTCATCATATTTGAGGTTTGTTCTCACTTCCCACCTGCAACTTCAGTGTATAAAAGTAAGGCTGTATAATAAACTGTTACTACAGAGTAAAAAGCTTGACATCTGAATATTGGACTAAATACTATTAGCCTCCACCAAAATGTAATGACGATTCGTTCTCTCAGGGTATACCAAAATATTGATTTACAGTAAACCTCGGATAAGTCGAAGTCGATGGGACCAAGTAAATTATTCGACTTATCCGATGGTTCAACTCAACCGTGTTTTTGTCTATCGCCTGTAATCGAGACATCGTATATTTAAACTGACCCAATTTTCGCCGATCGTGTCTGATAGCAAGGAATTAATGAAAAGAACAAGACAACATCTCTATTTTATAATAACAATTATTTTTTATCAAAATACAAATAAATCGTAGGTTAATGACAGTTACTGTAATCATCATTGTCACAAACACGTGGATAATGCGTACAAGATTGAACAAAAGACACACGTAATTTAGGCAAAAGAAATGGTGACATATTTAACGACCTATTACAAACCAATGCCAGGAGGGTTGATTTGATAACACCAAGTAATTAACGTTTGGATTGATGATGGCGATCAACACAGTCGAGATATCAGAGACATTATCTTGGTTTTACAGCTTGTCCACAGGACCATTGCGGCCATCATCGGTTCTCTGGCGGCTGTAGCTGCCCTTTCCTATTTTGGCAAGGTAAGAAACCATTGTCACCACAGCAGATAAGTAGTAAAGGACACAGGTACAGATAACATGAGATAAATATAGATTTAAGGCTGTTATACATAGTTATTTTGTCGATCTTCACTAATTCACAAATATAACACACTCGTGATACAACTTTAAACATATCGAATGTGCATTCACTATCTGGCTTGCTGTTGAATCTGTGACGTTTGACTGGTTATAACGTGTTTTTATCAACACAGTTCGAAAGAGCTCTGCTTATTTCACGTTGCATGTTGATTCTGACGCCAAACATATCACCTGGAGATGTTTCAACAGTCACTTTCCTTAGTCCAAGAGTGAGTGACCACGTGATCGAATCATGTAGCGAAGTACTTTGCCTCTCACACATATATCTAGTCCACGAGGTTTACCGAAATTTGAACGATGTTTTGTTTCATTCGAACATGGCATGGTTCAGAATTTACACATGTATTTGACGTTCTTTCAAAAATATCAGATAAATGAAAATAATGAAATTTATTCAATTTCGGGGCTAAAACACCTCCCCATTTACATCTCGACATTTCCTTTGGTCAATTTTCCTTCATTCACCTCCTAGATTTCCAATTCTGAGCCCTTTACATCATTGACGAGTCCTAGAAGGACGAACCAGGTTTGTGACTTAGTTTATCATCTAGCTCTACTTTATCTTATAGATTTGTATTGGAAGATGCCTTTCTCTTGTGTATCTTTTTACGATCACCGATCCACATGGTATATAACGCCGCATTTCTGTAGGAAATGAATACAAACGTTTGTTTTAGACCTTGAACATTTCAAAAATATGATGTTTGCTTTTGTAAATTTGTTAGTTTCCATTTTGCTTTTAGTCTCTGTTCCTGATGTTCGTCCTTGGTTTGTGATTGCTTCAAGTCTCTGTTCCTGATGTTCGTCCTTGGTTTCCGATTGCCTCAAGTCTCTGTTCCTGATGTTCGTCCTTGGTTTCCGATTGCCTCAAGTCTCTGTTCCTGATGTTCGTCCTTGGTTTCCGATTGCCTCAAGTCTTTGTTCCTGATGTTCGTTCTTGGTTTGTGATTGCCTCAAGTCTCTGTTCCGGATGTTCGTCCTTGGTTCCCAATTGTCTCTAGTGTTTGTTCCTTATATTCATCCTTGGTTTCCAGTTGCCTCTAGTCTTTGTTCCTTATGTTCCTTGGTTTCCGGTTGCTAGTCTCAGTAATGATGATTTCTTCACTATGATCAAGGTAATTACAGAGACTTACAGAGTGTCACATCTATTGGTAAGAACTGAGATTCAGACACTGTATAAACTATTATCTTGTTTATGATATACAGATATCGTAAGTTGGGTATATTTGCTCTACTTCGGCACCAAGATGAATTTGACACGAGAGTTAAGGTATTCTGAGAACTCTTTTACGTGATATGCACGATATTTGACGAAAATGTTACATACGTTTCTGTACCACAGTGATGGAGGATTCCATGATGACATTTATGTTTCTTTCTGGAAATTTATTATGTTATTTGTTAATGTTGGCACTAGGTGGACACTAGAAGGTGGTCACTGGTAGTACTATCGCTACTCTCTCAATCTTTATATCTTCCGATCACATAAATTGTATTTAAAAAACACTAGTAGAGCTAACCAATGTATTAAACTGCATCACACACCTGTTTCGTCGTTCTAGGACTCATCTCAATTATTCTAAGACAAGAGATAAACCTCAAGACCACTGGCACAATGATCTTTGAGCAGTAGACAAGAACTTTGTCAGCAATCTACTAACACTACTCTTGTATAGCCGGCCCTGTTAACAAGACATTACAATAATAGAGAACAAAACAAAGGCGATTTAAAAGATTAAGGAAACACTTACACACGCGTACGCGCGCGCGCAGTCTGAAACGGGGAGGGGCTTGAGCTTCAACCCAACTACAAAGCAGTATTTTGGTCGCAAGACTGAATGATGTCGTCCATGACATCACCGAAAATCAATTCACCACCGGACTGATGTGGAAACATCTCCAGGTTTAATGTTTCGTTATGTGAGAAAAAAATGGTTCGTAATTTGTTTTGGTTTCAAACAGCGACCACCCCTGGAGGTAATCATTGCCTGGATAGACATGGAAACACTCATGTTGCTATTCGGAATGATGATACTTGTCGCCATATTTTCCGAAACAGGATTTTTTAATTTCTTTGCCCTGAAGGTAAAGTATGTTTAAGCAAATTCAAGCTTCATTTATTTGATCTCTTTATCACTACATTACTTTTACATCCAAGAAAGTGATATGATGCTTCGACTGAGCTTAAACTGAGCTCGTCTTTGCGCCAGTCAGCACTTTTTCTCATTTGATGATTTAACTACAAACTTTTCATAATAAAAATATAGCAGTATTGTCCCGAGTGATTTTGATAGAACTTGGTACCTTAAGTTGACAGCCAAGTCTGACATTCCATTACTATGATGTGATTTAATGGTTGTAGGCTTACAAGATGGCGAAGGGCCAGATCTGGAGTCTCGTCACACTTCTGTGTCTATTCAGTGCTGTTGTCTCTGCATTTCTCGACAACGTCACAACAATTCTTCTTCTTACTCCAGTCACGATCAGGTAAGTAATTATGGCGTATGACACTGTCGTGATTTATAACAAGTATTTCAAGAAATTCAACGTGCGCATCAGAGTGAAAATATCAAAACATATGTCGATTTTTCTCTTTTTTCTTTTGGTTGAATTTTTCAAACGTGTTTCAAATGAGTTAATTTTCATTGCAGTGAAAACGACATATTTGACATCAGTTCGATATTTCCGTTTATTTATACAACATAATGTCGACAAGAAATTTGTCAGCAGTATTCCAACACCTGCATTTTATTTCGGCTTTGTCTACGGGAAATGTGCCACTAAGCTAATAGCCCTGTACTTGAAGCTCGCTCTGATAACTCGACGGATTATTTCAAGGCTACCTATGTCCACCTTAGTCTTTTCTTTCTCGGATTTGTATTTTAGACCCATTTCCCTCGTGGGCCGAACATGTGATGCTTTTTTTGTGTAAGGCTTATGTCATACTAAAAAAATCCATCTGAACTTATCAAGGAAATGTTGTTGTGGAGATCTTTTCTTTTAGGTTGTGTGAAGTGCTCAATCTCGATCCGAAAAATATACTGATAGCGGAAGTGTTATTTTCCAACATCGGAGGAACAGCTACTGCAGTGGGTGACCCGCCAAACGTCATCATTGTTTCCAACAAAGAAATGTCTGAAAAGGTAACGTATACGGGGCTTCTAAGATAAAAACACGGGGATCCATGTCTGTGTCTCTACATAACGGTACCCTCTCTTGTAGGGGCCACGGTGGCCAAATGATCGGGCCTCTGAACGTCTTCATCAATAATCATTCAACTCTGGGTCGCGGGTTGGAGGCCTACGTGGGGCAGTCACAAGGTACTGGTCATGCAGGTCGGTGTTTTTCTCTCCGGTTACTCCGGCTTTCCTTTATCATTCAAACCTGGAGCGTCCTTAAATGACCTTAGCTGTTAATAGGATATAAACCAACAATAAACCAGCCATCCCTCTCCATTTCTGTGATTCATCACTTCCTTAACGAAAATTATCTCTGTAAATGCTCATATGCCTTTCTTTCATGAACCTCTACCCTCTGAAGCGTAATTTCTAACAGTTTCCGACAAGAGTTATACGACCAGGCCCCACTTGTTTAATACATCTCAACTTGAGATTTCCTCAAGCCCAGATTTTCCTCTGCTGACATCTCCTCAAAAACTGCTTGTATAAAATTTTCTCAAGGAACAGGAGGAAGACATCGGCTAGGATGTCCTGAAATTCCTTGAGGAATTTTCATACAAGATATTTTCAAGGAGATATTAGCTGAGGAAAATCTCGACTTGAGGAAATCAGAAAGTAAGATATTTTATACAAGTGGGGCCAGACGTACATGAATACATCATAAATTTCTCATTTCAGGGTATCGACTTTGCCGAGTTTACCTTACACATGGCAGTAGGGATAGTCTTCGTGGCCTTCGCTGGGTACGCGGCTTTACGGATTTATTACCGAAATATGAAATCTCTCCAAAATAAGGACCCACCAGAAATATCAGGTACATAATATTACTCAATGTCGTCAAATAACAGATCACCACCGACTTATTTGTTGTTGTGAATACCAATGACACTCAATACTTTCGTTTGATATAATCAGTTTTGTATTTTGCATCTTAGGGCACATATTGTGTACTGTAACCAAACAATTAGTTTTGTATTTTGTCATCTCCGGGTACTTATTGTATGAAAGTTGTTGTTGACAATTGTCTCTATTTTCACTCTCTCACAAATTCCATACGTTCGATGTGAATACGTGTTATATTTTCTCTACTGAGTCAATCAACATGTTGCTGCTTTTACAGAGCTGAAGCACGAGATTGAACTATGGAAGAAAGCTGCTGCTCGAGTGTCCGTTGTTTCCAGGGAGGAAAGTATCATGAAGGCCCTCTTTCTACAGAAGTCTGCCCAAAGAGAAAACACGCTCGTGCGTAGACTGTACAGAATCAAGTAAGCATAATTGAGATATTTAAAACAGATTTTAATTTGACGTCCGTATATATTGCAACCTTCTGCTAACAACATCTTGTTTTCGTTGTAAGTATTTTTTTTAACGTAATTTTTGTTCTAAGCTATAACGAACTTATTAAAGGACCATTTTCTGTTCTGTCAATAATAAAATAATTAAAACCTGAAAAAAAAGTGTTAATGTTTAGTGAATTGTTTGGAATATCGGTTTATTATTTGAATAATGGTTTTTCTTTCTATTCTTTCTTTTAATATGTATCAAATTTAATGATTTCTCATTAAACATCGTGAACAAGTGGACATATATATCGTACTCGTCAAAATTATTATATTTTCTGTCATGTTTGTGAAATATACATGCATACTCATTAAATATTATAACCATTTCTTCGTTACAAATTTTAAAGTTGTTATATTGTTTCTTGGTAGGAGGTAGGCTGAAGTGTGTTTTTACATTTACAGGCGTTCGGAGATTAAGGACTTCCAGCAAAATGTTGAAGATCTGGAGAGAAAGGTAAATACTCTTATATAATGAGAACGTGTTAGTGTTAACGAACCGTATCGAATCTCCTTTAACTCTATTGATAAGTTAAACACATGATTCGGGTCTCTATAGTAACCATTATACCCCTGTAACACCATGTATCTTAATAACATTGTGTTCTCTATTTACAGTATTATATCACGGATCCGTGGCTGTTGATAAAGAGTAGCATTGTCCTCGCTGTAGCCATCCTCTTCTTCTTCCTCCAGTCCTTTCTGGACGGAATACATCTCAATATAGGTAAAAATATGTAGATCTCGCCCTCCTACAGTTGTTTCTGGGCGGAATATACATCAATATAGGTAAAATATGTAGATCTCGCCCTCCTACAGTTGTTTGTGGACGGAATGCACATCAATATAGGTAAAATATGTAGATCTCGCCCTCCTACAGTTGTTTGTGGAGGGAATGCACATCAATATAGGTAAAATATGTAGATCTCGCCCTCCTACAGTTGTTTGTGGACGGAATACACATCAATATAGGTAAAATATGTAGATCTCGCCCTCCTACAGTTGTTTGTGGACGGAATACACATCAATATAGGTAAAATATGTAGATCTCGCCCTCCTACAGTTGTTGAATACACATCAATATTGTGGCCCTCCTACACAGAATACACATCAATATAGGTAAAATATGTAGATCTCGCCCTCCTACAGTTGTTTGTGGACGGAATACACATCAATATAGGTAAAATATGTAGATCTCGCCCTCCTACAGTTGTTTCTGGGCGGAATATACATCAATATAGGTAAAATATGTAGATCTCGCCCTCCTACAGTTGTTTGTGGAGGGAATGCACATCAATATAGGTAAAATATGTAGATCTCGCCCTCCTACAGTTGTTTGTGGACAGAATACACATCAATATAGGTAAAATATGTAGATCTCGCCCTCCTACAGTTGTTTGTGGACAGAATACACATCAATATAGGTAAAATATGTAGATCTCGCCCTCCTACAGTTGTTTATGGACAGAATACACATCATTATAGGTAAAATATGTAGATCTCGCCCTCCTACAGTTGTTTGTGGACGGAATACACATCAATATAGGTAAAATATGTAGATCTCGCCCTCCTACAGTTGTTTGTGGACAGAATACACATCAATATAGGTAAAATATGTAGATCTCGCCCTCCTACAGTTGTTTGTGGACGGAATGCACATCAATATAGGTAAAATATGTAGATCTCGCCCTCCTACAGTTGTTTGTGGACGGAATGCACATCAATATAGGTAAAATATGTAGATCTCGCCCTCCTACAGTTGTTTGTGGACAGAATACACATCAATATAGGTAAAATATGTAGATCTCGCCCTCCTACAGTTGTTTGTGGACAGAATACACATCAATATAGGTAAAATATGTAGATCTCGCCCTCCTACAGTTGTTTGTGGACAGAATACACATCAATATAGGTAAAATAGATGTTGTTTGTGGACGGAATACACATCAATATAGGTAAAATATGTAGATCTCGCCCTCCTACAGTTGTTTGTGGACGGAATACACATCAATATAGGTAAAATATGTAGATCTCGCCCTCCTACAGTTGTTTGTGGACGGAATACACATCAATATAGGTAAAATATGTAGATCTCGCCCTCCTACAGTTGTTTGTGGACAGAATACACATCAATATAGGTAAAATATGTAGATCTCGCCCTCCTACAGTTGTTTGTGGACAGAATACACATCAATATAGGTAAAATATGTAGATCTCGCCCTCCTACAGTTGTTTGTGGACGGAATACACATCAATATAGGTAAAATATGTAGATCTCGCCCTCCTACAGTTGTTTGTGGACAGAATACACATCAATATAGGTAAAATATGTAGATCTCGCCCTCCTACAGTTGTTTGTGGACGGTATGCACATCAATATAGGTAAAATATAGTTGTTTGTGGACAGAATACACATATGTTTGTGGACGGAATACACATCAATATAGGTAAAATATGTAGATCTCGCCCTCCTACAGTTGTTTGTGGACGGAATGCACATCAATGTAGGTAAAAATATGTAGATCTCGCCCTCCTACAGTTGTTTGTGGACGGAATACACATCAATATAGGTAAAATATGTAGATCTCGCCCTCCTACAGTTGTCTGGGGACAGAATACACATCAATATAGGTAAAATATGTAGATCTCGCCCTCCTACAGTTGTTTGTGGGCGGAATGCACATCAATATAGGTAAAATATGTAGATCTCGACCTCCTACAGTTGTTTGTGGACAGAATACACATCATTATATGTAAAATATGTATATCTCGCCCTCCTACAGTTGTTTGTGGAGGGAATGCACATCAATATAGGTAAAATATGTAGATCTCGCCCTCCTACAGTTGTTTGTGGACAGAATACACATCAATATAGGTAAAATATGTAGATCTCG